GTGAGAATATCTTTTAAAACTTCTAGTAACTCAGTGAAATGTTTATCACTCCAGCCAAATTTTGCCTTCAAATTGACCAATCTCAATACAGCAGACAATCGCGTGAATGTTGTACATCCAGGATACAAAGGTGTCTTTGAATCTATCTTCAATTTATCATAGACAGGAGCATGTGCTTGCAGAAAATTCTCTTGACCCACATCACGAATCATGTCTTCTATTCGATCTTTCATTGTCACATCCTCCTCTTGCTCAGCTTGTGTTACCACTGGAATATCAATCACTTCACCATGCCATGTCCATACGGTATAATTCTTCATGATCTCATCGCATAGAAGATGTTCCCGTATTGTCTCTAGTGTCTGTACTCTCCCATTAACGCAGTTAACGCATGAACAATACAATTTTCCATTAACCTTGGTGCCATTGTGTTCGATAAATCGCAAAAATTCTTCGACTCCATTCTCATACTCTTCTGATATATGATTTGCATTTAACCAACTTCGATCCATTTTGGAATTGGAGTCTACAAATAGGAAACCAATAAAATGATTAATACTAATAATCGTTATCTCTAATGAAATCTATACAAAACTAGATTAATTTCTAACAAAAATTCGGCAGAATTTCGTTTGTTTTTTGGTAATATCATCTCCATGAAAATATTTAGTTTTTTACATAGTAGTATCATCTTTTGACTAGTTACACTTGAGTTGTGGTTGCATATTTCAAACCATCCAAGGCTAAAACACTACAACAAAAACATCAAATAGTGATCGAAATAGTAACCAACCCAAATCGGTCACTAACAAAAACATTAAAAAATTAAAAATATTTTTTTATAACCCCTTTCTATTTTATCTAATTATAATAGTCTCTAACCTCCCTTCCATATTCTTTCTTTTATAATATATTTTTTAGAAATTTGAATTATTATTAGATTGAAAGAATTGTTCTTGACAGGATTCAAACCCAGTATCTTAGAATTAGAGACTGATACTTCAACCACTAAACTACTAGGATTTTTTGATAATAGTTTATAAATAAATTATATTTATATACAAATAAAAATATATATCCGTGTAAATATATAAATATAAAATATATAAATACAAATAAATATATATATATATATATATATATATATATATATATGTGTGTGTGTGTGTGTGTGTTGGATGTGAGGGCGCTCGAGGGTGAAAGTATGTGTCGAGTGGATTTTTAAAATTTGATGTCAAATTTGTGAGCGGGTCTCTTTATATGAGTTTATAATTTAATGACACAATATAATCTTTATAATTTATTTATATAATGATATAAAATAATTTATTTCTTTATTTATTTATTTTATTTTATTTTAATTTATTCTTCTTATATTTTTTTCTTCTATTATTTAATTAAAATTCTTATATTAAAATAATTTTTTCAATATTAAAAATAATTAAATATTTATTTTTAAAATTATTTAATTTAACAAATTATTATAAATTAATCTAATTATGATTATTAATAGAACAATTTTTTCGTAACATATATTATTATAAATTAATCAAAATCATCTTTTAATAATTATTTTTTCCAGACAGATTAATTCATAATAATTTTTTAAATTAAATAATTTTAAAAAATAATTTTGAAAATAAATATTTAATTATTTTTAATAAATAAAAAATTATTTTAATATAAGAATTTTAATTAAATAATAGAAGAAAAAAAAGATAAAAAGAATAAATTAAAATAAAATAAAATAAAAATAAATAAAGAAAACAATTATTTTATATCATTATATAAATAAATTATAAAGATTATATTTTATCATTAAATTACAAATCCATATAAAGAGACTCGCTCACAAATTTGACATCAAATTTTGAAAACTCACTCGATCGACACACATTTCACCCTCTAGCGTGACCCTCACATCGAACATATAAATATATAAATATATCAAAATATATAAATATATTTGTATTTATATATTTTATATTTATATATTTACACGAATATACATTTATTTATATATAAATATAATTTATTTGTAAATTTTTATCAAAAAATTCTAACAGTTTAGTGGTTGGAGTATTAATATCTAACTCTAAGGTACTGATTTTGAATTTTATTAGTAATAATTTTCTTAATCGATAAAAAAATTTTGTTAATAAGAGAAATTATATATTTTTGTGGTAAGACGATGAGATTTTTAGGTTAAACTAAAATTAGGGCAACTAAATTGTTGTTATGGACTAAAACCCAAAAAGTAAAAAATAAAAAATATAATTAAATAAAAGAAAAAATATATACTTTTGCATTTTTATTTTCAAATATTAGTTTTTTTATGAAATTATTTTTAATTAAAATAATTAAAGTGATATATATATATATATAATTTTTTTTAATTTTAATTTATTAATATTATCAAATTTTAGCTTCATGATTAAAAAAATACCAATAATTTAAATTTTATTAATTCTATAATTTTATATAATTATTATTATAAATTTAATTCTCCAATAACTAATAATATTAACACATTTATTAAATTAAAATTCTTTATTTTAATTAATTATTTTGATTTTTTTAACAAATTTTTTTAAATAAAAACGATAAAACTTAAAATTAATTTCTAACTAAATCTTCACATATTTATGGTTAATAGTATATTATATTATTATGTTTAATTAAATTTTAAAATAAGTTCACTTAATCTTTACACTTTTATAAAAATACTAATATAAATTTAAAATATTTATCCAATTATTAAATTATTTAAAATATTAATATAAATTTGAAATATCAATTCAATAATTAAAATAATTTTAATTTTTTTATAAATATATTGAAATACATTTTTATTAACATAAAAGTATATATATATATATATATATATATATATATATATATCAAAAAGAGACTAAATTAATAATTAATTTAATAATTGATTATATATATATAAAAGAGATTGAATTAATAATTACTTTAATGACCGATTCGGTGACTAATTTAATAATTAATTTTAATTTTTTTATTCACATACTAAATTAAAAAATAAAATCAAATAATTATATTACTAAATTATTTAATAAGTTAATAAACTATTTTTTAAAATTTTTATAATGTTATTAAAATTTTTATCAATTATTTTAAATTATTAAGTAGATTTATATTTAATATCTTATTAAAATACTTTTAAAAAATATTTATATAAATAAAAATGGTCACTAATTTATATATTATTTGTTTAGTGACTGAAATTTTAGTCACTAAATCGATCACTATATATAAAAAAAGAAATCATTCACTCGATCACTATTAATCATTTTTCTAGTAGTTACTTGAATCAGTGACCGATTTCGTGATCTGAAATTTTAGTCACTAAATCGGTCACTAAATATAAAACGGAAATCAGTCACTGATTCAGTTACTATCAGTGACTGAATTTTTCGGTTACTAATTTCAGTCACTATTAACCATTTTTCTAGTAGTGAAACCACCATGTCCCTAATAGTCGCAATAAAAAAAAAAAAAGTTGTGGTTGCAAATTCAAGGATTCCACGATGCAATAACATTATAACGTTGTTATAATATATGCTTAACAACACTTTAAATCCTGAGCAACCAAAAGTACAATATAATAGAGCTCATGACAGTCAAAATGCAATATTAGTTAGACTTGTGTTGTGGAATAAAGACTTACAAACCAGGGAACTCTTCCAAACACGTGCTTAAGGTGTTTTTTTTTTCTTGCAATAAACAAAAAATTAGCAAGCATTTTAGAATATCACATTAGGTCAGGCATTCAATCATATAGGTTGAAATAGTTGAAATTATCTAAGAGAATACAAGGAAAGCTGAAATAAATGGTTGGTAATTCTATTAGTATGAATTGTAGCAATTCCTTTTCAAGTGACCTTGGGAGCGGGACAATGTGACAAAGACAACTTTAACATCTAAGATTCCAGTTCAGCCTATTCAAGCCACACAAACCTATTACTTCTCACTTTCACCACCAACTTCTTTCAGTGCACTAGAATTGGAGTGGAACAGTGGAGCCACAGTCAGATTTTGGGTCATATTAGGTTGAGTTAACCATATTTTTTTTATATCATACTCCAGATAGAATTTGATAACTTCTATAAAGATAATAAGAAAATTAAAGATAAATAATGTTTTCGAAATTAATAATAGATTGAATATTTTAAAAAACAAACCAAAGCTTATACCACCCCGTCCAAGCTTCAACTTATTACATGCTCTTATCTCTTATCCCAATAATGAGTAGCATAACAGCATCATAATAAGCTACAAAAAATTTGATTAATAAAACCATTTCTATTATGTGCAAGTAATTATCCCACTTTGATGAGAATGACCACGTTTTTGTAGTAATCAGAGGCTCAGATACTAACTTCTTCTCAATTAATTTACTTCACTTTAATTGGTGAATTACTTTCTCTAGGGTAAATGTTTTACCTAGCTAGATTTCACTGCACAAACTCATTTTACTTATATATACACTTGGAAGATTTTTGCATGAACATCCATAAACTCTTTCAGAAAAAATTTATAGCAAAGAGAACAACTGAAGAAGACCAAAGATTAAAGAAAAAGTGTGTTCAATTGTCTTCCTTCTTCCCTCTTATTTAAATCTTGGCTTACATTTTACATTTTACAGAAAAGGGTTTTTACGTAACTCAATTGTCATCGTATGTAAAAATATTTGACGTAAATAAAATGCAGTGACAATTTTGTAAATAAGGAACAAAACTTTTACGTCGCATACCCCATCACGTGACGTAAAAAGCCTCTTTTACGTCGGTGCGAAGTAAAAGAAGGCCTTTTTCGTTGCATACTTGGGGAGGCGACTTAAAAAGTAATAGCTTTTTACTACTTCACAATTGCTAATGATGTAGTGGTTTGTGTGGCTTGAGGAGTTCAGGTTAGACTACGAGGTTGCGGAGCTGACATGGGAAAATGGTCAACTTTCTATGCATGGCTTAGGGCTACCGCGTGTGCCGGTGAAGCCCCCCACAAGCGCCGGGAGCAAGTGAGAAACCTCGCGCCAGTGGCACCTTGGAATCCATAGTGAACCAAGCCACGAGCTTGCCGCACCGCGGAAAGCCAACGCTGAACGGAGACGGCGACGTGTATGGGAACTTCGTGGTGCCGTGGTTCGACCCTAACGGGAGTGCCACGACGGCGAACACGGTGACGATGGACGCATTGGTGCCGTGCACGAAGCAGGAGCAGAGAAAGCAGGGCATGGAGTCGGTTCCCAGCACGTGCATGGTGGGGTGCTCCACACGTGTGGGGTCGTGCTGCGGCAACCGCAGGGCGCGAAGGGGCAGGAGATGAGTGGGAGGGATCAGAGCGTGAGTGGCAGCACCACATTCGGGAGGGATAGCAAGCAGGTGACCCTTGACACGTGCGACAGGGATTTTGGTGTACCTTTCACTTCCCCCTCCATCAACTCCCTCGACAACACCAGCTCCGCTAAGCCCTGCACCAAAACCACCACCGTCGACGACCATGATTCTGTTTCCCACAGTAAATATTACATCATATAATATTTTATATAGATATTGCTTATACTTGGAATTTATTTTCTATAGGAGGTATCTTTTAAGATAAGCTTGTATGCATTTTTCTCTATTTATAGACACTCTTGTATCTTTATTTTGTTTTACACTTCCCTTTCATTGACAATATTTCTCTTTGTTTTATAGAAAATACGTGAAATTTTCTCTGGTTGTTTTGTGACCGAAAATTTTCTCTTTGAATTCTATTCCCTTTGTAGTAATATTACGCTCAAAATTCTGATAATTTCCAACTTAATTATGGTAAAAAGCTTTTTGACCAAGTTATATCTTATCGACCTCTAGTAGTTCTAACAAAAAGTTTGTAATGTAATTTTGATGTGTTTGTCTATTTGTAAAGGGTGAAGACGGGGACGAAGAAAAGAAAAAGAGAGGAAACGGAAAATCTTCGGTTTCCACTAAAAGGAGCAGAGCTGCGGCCATACATAACCAATCTGAAAGGGTAAACGTTGAATCAATTTTGCAAGTTGCAATGATGATATTGCAACAACAAAATCAACAATTTGATGTTCATTTGGTTCATTTTCGCATTGGCTTTTCAGAAAAGGAGGGATAAGATAAACCAAAGAATGAAGACATTGCAAAAGTTGGCCCCAAATTCCAGCAAGGTATATAGCATAGTTGCAACTAGTTGGGTGGGGTTTGGTGAGCTAATTATCATGATATTGTTTATTTATTATTATTATTATTATTATTATTTTCACTATCTTATCATTGAAACCGTGATGTTGTGTATGTGTTTAGGGTTTAGGGTTTAGTTTATCTTATCATTACATCGGAAACCGAATCAAGAAATGAAAAGCTTATTACAAGGGTAAGTTTATCTTTTATTCATTAATTATGTTTTTAAATTGTAAATACATATTGAATAATATATGACTTTTTTTCACTTAGAATCGTGTCTGGAACTAATGTTCTAAGTGGAAAACCTAGAACAAAGACTTTGCAGTTCATTTATCCTAAGGTTAGAAACTTATTTATATAAGTGAATACCATAATTATTGTTTGTATTTAAATTTTGAAAATAATATTTTGTTTTTTTCATCATTTCGGTGTAATAAGCAAACGGATCTGGTTTGAATGTGGTTACTATGTAATGTATTGGATGAGAGCCATAGTTTGTGCGGGTTTAATTGATTCTTGGATCGGAGGTAATTACTTTTAACATTAGTTAAGTTTATTTAACTTTATTCATGTTGCATGTTTACAAGAGTCAAATTCATGTTTCAAGTATTTCAAGATCCATCTCCATTACCAGAATCGATATTACACAAATTAGAGAACAATGGGCAAAATTTTTTGTTCAACAATTCTAGTACATAATTTTTTAAGTTCTTGTTCATATTATATTGTGTGTATTATGTAGTTTAGGTAGCTTAGTTTGTATTAACTTTTAGTTTGTAATAGATTTTTTAGTTTGTATGTTTGTATTATATTGTTTTATTATGTAGTTTGAATTATATAATATTATATTTTTAATTTACTAGCTAAAGAAAATTGAACCTACGGATTGTCTCGATTATAATATTTACAGGTTTTAGTTGTAAAACAGAATAAATAAACCCAATTTAAAAAAAAAAAAACAGCAAATTTACGTCGCATTTACCATATGCGACGTAAATTTGCTTTTTTTTTTTTTTTTCGAAAGTTTTTACGTCTGTTTAGTGGTATATGCCATGCAAAATTACGTCGGGTCTTGATAATCGACGTAAATCTACGTCGGGCTAAAGGGTCCGACGTAAATTTACGTCTCCCATTTTAACGTCGGACTTAAATACGACGTAAAAAGCCCTAAATACCTGACGTAAAATCCCCTTTTTGCACTAGTGCAATCTGTACTTTATATAGGGTTTTGAATTGTCCAGTTGTCGTACTCGTGAGCATTATAGCACCTTTTCTATAGCAGAGTATGAACATAAACAAAAGATAAAACATTCATGAATAAAGTATGAATATTCACGAATAAAGTATGAACATGAATAAAAAAAATAAAATAGAAGTGCAAGAGCATCATACCCGAGGGTTAGGGCAACAATGGAGGTGTGCACCAGAGAGAGAGAGCAGCTACACGAACACGTGAGAGGAGGCCGGACACGAGAGAGAGTGAGAGGGACGCAAGGGCATTAATGGAGGAGGCGACGGAGGAGCAAAACGAATAGTGGAGGCGACGGAGGAGTAGAATGCGAAGGAGAGCAACGAAGGAGCAGCTTTATGCAGAACAGGAAGAAGATGAAATGAAGACGAAGATTGGTCTATTAAATGGGTTTTCGATATTGGTTCTACCCAAAACCAACATCTAAAGCCTTGAAGAATAACTTTTCTACGTCGGGTATACTAAAATCGACGTAAAATATCATATATAACATCGATTGATTAAAAACCAACATAAAATGTGTTCAAAATTCAACTTTCAATGTTGTTTGTTAACCAACTGGTTAAAATTGTAGTCAATGTCGCCTTAGCTTTAATCAACGTTAAATAACGACGTGAAAAACATATTCTGTAGTAGTGTAACCCAAGTGTTTCTTTCTCAATCTCAAATATTTATATATAATATAACGTTATTTTACATTAGAGAGATTGTTATTTATAGTCATAGAATTAAAACTATAAATTAAATGAAAAAATGAGAATTCAAATTGTAATGAAACTAAGGAAAAGAAATTCAAATTTAAATAAAACCAAGAAAGAGAATTTAAATTCAAATTGCTCTTAAAGATTTATAAGAGGAAGACAAAAGTGTGGTGTTTTATGTAGTAGTGGATATATATATATATATATATATATATATATATATATATATATATATATATATATATATATATATATATATATATATATATATTATATTATAGGGTGTATATTGTTAAAATTAGTATTAAGTATCTAATTTTTTATTTTATTTTTCCTAATCTTATATATTTGAATCCTCCACTACTACGAAATATACTTTCTACGTCGTCATTTAACGTCGGTTATAACTGAGACGACGTAGAAAGTACTTTCCACGTCGGTTCCCAGATGAACCAACGTTGAAAGTTGAATATTAAACACTTTTTACGTCGGTTCTTAGTCAACCGACGTAGAGAGTACTTTCTACGTCGGTTCCCATATAAACCGACGTAGAGAGTACTTTCTACGTCGGTTCCCATATAAACCGACGTTGAAAGTCTTTTTTTTTTTTTTTTACTTATTGACACTTTCCACGTCGGTTTTTTTTTTTCACCCAAAAACTCACTTAAATTTGAAAATTGTGATGGACAGGATTCGAACCCAGTACTTTAGAGTTGAAGACTGATACTCCAACCACTAAGCTACTAGAATTTTTTGATAATAACTTACAAATAAATTATACTTATATACAAATAAATATATATCCATGTAAATATATATTTATTTGTATATATTTTCTGGAAAGTATTTTTATTTTTATTTTCAGCCAAAAATTCTCTTAAGTTAATGAATTGTCACTCGATAGCATTTGAACCCAGTATTTTAGGGTTGAAAGTTAATATCCCAACCACTAAACTACTATAATTTTTTGATAATAACTTACAAATAAATTATATTGGTATTTTTCGATCGAGGGTGAAAGTGTGATTGACTTTTGCTTGAGTGAAAATATGTTAAAGCTCACGGAAATTCACTTACTCAAATCTCGCTTGAGCGAAAATTGGTATTTTTCGCTTGAGAGCAAATAACACGTTTCCCAAATTTATTTTATATCATTATATAAATAAAATTATAAAGATTATATTCTGTCATTAAATTACAAACTCATATAAAGATACTTGCTCACAAATTTAGCATAAATTTTTGAAAACTCACTCGACACACTTTCACTTTCGAGTGTGCCCTCACATCCAACATATAAATATATAACTATATAAATATATCAAAATATATAAATATATTTGTATTTATATATTTACACGGATATATATTTATTTGTATATAAATATAATTTATTTGTAAGTTATTATCAAAAAATTCTAGTAGTTTAGTGGTTGGAGTATCGACCTCCAACTCTAAAGTATCGAGTTCGAATCTTGCCAATGACAATTCTCTTAAAAAATTAATAAACTTCTAAAATATATAATATAAAGAGAGGGGAGACTTCTAGATAAATAAAATCTTAGATATGTTACTAGTTTCATGCTTGATTCATGTTTTTGTTGTCTTGGTTACATTATTCTTGCTTGTTTGATAGGTTCTTTATTTTTAACTTAAAAATATCATGTAATTAAAATTTTATTGTATCTTGTTGACTTGCTCTTGTTTAAAAATGCTTCCAATAAGATCAAAGATGCCCTAATCAAATAATTCTATCTAAATTATAAATTAAAAAAATAATTTTTAACAAGAAATACAAAACATAGACATATTTTAAAGTAAAGTTATTTTGATTCTTGTCTTTCTTATTGTTCTTCTTGTAATTTATTCCCTCTTATTCATTTTCCTATTTTTTATTCATATATTTATAATTAGATTTTTTTAAAACTAAAAAAACAATTTAAACAAAATAATCATCGGCAAACTATAAGTTTGTTTGATTTAATCGTTGATTTTAGTTTTTAAAAAAAAATTAGAAATCAATTTTGAAAAATTATTTTTGAAAATAAGTTAAAAAATAAATTTTTTTGAAAATTATTTTAGATATGGAAGGCAAAAAGACAAATGACATAATAAAAATATTACCATAAAAACTTGAATATTATAACTGAAAATTAAAATTCTAAAATAGAAAACACAATGAAAGTACAATTTACCCGTTAACGATAAATCTGATTCCCAAATATGACGTGTTTGATTTGTATAAGTAGTGACGTTAAATTTAGAAAAAGTAAAAGAACTTTTCTCCAAGTTCCAATTCATGATCCGTTTGTCAAAGAAAAAAAATATTTAATTGAAAAATACAGGTTAAAAATAACGAAGTAAATTAAAAAATATTTGTTATTATCACTGTTATTTATTATTGATATTTGTATTTGTTTTTTTCTTAATATTTTTATCTATAAAAATTAATACATACATATTTTTTATTATTTTATTTTAAATTACGATAATTTTATTTTAAAATTACGATAATTATTTTTTAATATTTTATTTAACTAATATTTAAATAAATACTAGTTACGTGAAACAATTTTTTTTATTAAAAAAACATGTCAATACTAATTGTTTAAAAATTTTGATTGATAACTTTTTTTAAAATTATAAAAGTCAGATATGAATAAATCATAGGATGGAGAGATAATAATTTTTTTTAAATTTATTAATTCTTTATTGAAAAAAATAATAATTAATTACTTAAATACGATATAGTATAATAAATAAATTGTATTTTATATTTTTTTAATATAATAAACCACTCATAAATTCCGTTTGAAAATCCATCAGCCTCGGTGCTTCGAAGCACATGCTTGAAAAAAAAATTGAAATTATTTTGATACTTGCAATTTCTATAAATACTGACGACAAATTTTTATTTTTCTTTTTTAAATAAACATTATTTATTTCTTTTCAATATATAAACTCAAATAGAAAACGTATAATTTAATTAAAATTATATTACAAAGTATTAATGTAAATAAAATTAATATTTTAAAAATAATTTTAAGTTGTATTATAGAGTTGATAAAATAGATATGGTTTGATAGATTCATTTTGAATAATCCGTACAATAAGTTAACTTAATTTATTAGAAAATAGTAATCTAACTGAACAGATTTAAGTCTATTTAGTTTATAGACTTATGATATTTATTTGTAAAAATAATAATTATAATTTATTAATTTAATAGTCATAAATCATTTAAGAATAGAGTAATTTATATCTTTCTTTCTTATTACATCTTTCTCAGTTGATTGATGTGTCTTTTGAACGACAATTCGTAAATAATATTTTTCATAATTGGTTCTAACAAAGTTATATAATGGACATAAAACTAAAACCTCAATCAGACGTCTACCATACAACTCAGTAGAAGAAACATAATTTATATATTTTTAAATAATATTAATTCATTATAATTTATATATTTAAATTAGTTTTCCTTATACAATTTAAAATTTAAGAAAAACTATTTTTAAATTTAAAATTCTTTTTTATTAAAAATCATATAAAATATAAAATATTGATGCAAGTTTCAATTGTGTGAATGTTTTTTTTACCCATTTAAAATATAGTTTGGGTAACTTATATGGACATTAACTAATCTTTATTTTATTAATTTATCTATTTAATTTTTTTCTCTCAGTTATTATACTTTATTAATCTAATTACTTATTTTCTCTCTTATAATTTTCACTTACATATAATTATCTATCTATCTCTCTACTCTATATATATATATATATATATATTAATAATCTAAAATTTGATAAAAATATAGAATTTAAAATTTTATAATATATATATATATATATATATATATATAATTCTTTACAAAATGTTTGTTATTTATTTATTTATTTTATTTAAATCAATCAATACTTCTTCAAAATCATTCTAAATTTCATAAGTTCAGAGTTGATTCAAGTCAATAAAACTATTAAGTGAAAAATATTACAATAGAAAGATATAAAAATTTTATTCACTTAGATGATTATGAAAATATAAAAAAGCATTAACATTTTCTAATGGATAAAAAATAAGAAAAATAAAATTAAAAATTAATTTAACGTAGTGTAACGTTGTTTGATTAAAATGTCAAAATCACACTATTATTAATGTTTTAAAAAATAGAAATTAAATATTTATTAATACTATTATTTTTCTTAGAAACCTATAGAATATATAAAGAAAATAGTAAAAAAATAAATACAAGATAAAAAACAAAAAGTCAATTAAAAAAGTATAGAAAGATAAAAAATTATATTTTACTTTATAATTTTTTACATGTAAATGAAAAAAAAATACTTCTAATTTATTTATTATTATTATTTTTTCATAATAACTGAAAAAAAGTAATTAATACTTGGTACCGTTAAACTATATCTTAAGTCGAAACGGATTTTTAATTGTCCGTTTTCTCGATTCGACAAATTATTAAATTTTGCAATTATGATTAACGGAAACTTTCCGCACACATTATCACAATATAAAAAACTTTGACATTTACAAATAAACACGTAGTTTCACACAATAAGTGGTACCTTTTCCTTAGAGAAATTAAACTCATGTCACATCACGTGATGCAATTAAAGGCCAACAATAACTTTTATTTGATGCAGCAACTATACTCAGAAATAGTTTGTCTCACTATTACTTTCATTAAAGCTACCCCTAGATATACACATAGGACCAACCCCACATCCTTTTTTATTTTATTTTATTTATACACAAACGCAAACATTCTCGCGGTCTCAACACGCTGTGTGCAATTTGAAATGGTGTTCACAGTGTGGTTGTGTCCTCTGGTACTAGCCTCAGCTTTTGTATGGACAGTGGCACCTTCTCCACCTTACCAAGTATGTGATTTTTCTGACGGAAAATGGGTCATTGATGAAGCCTCCTCCCACCCTCTCTATGTTGCTTCAAGGGACTGCCCTTTCATTGGCCAAGGATTTGATTGCCTAAGAAATGGCAGACCTGATAAGGAGTACCTCAAGTATCGATGGAAGCCCTCTGGTTGTGATCTTCCAAGGTAATGTGATTTAGTTTCACTTAATTCTACTTTTGTTTTAGTTTAGTTTGGAGTTTGCAGTTATCTTACATCAATTTGATTTAGATTACTAAGTAGTTTTGAGTTCAATCTTTTTAATATTAATGGCATTAATCATTTAAATAATTGTCTTCGTAAAATATGCATGTGATCTCATGGTTTTTGTAATATCCAAAGGTAGCCAGCATTTTTTTTTTCTGACAAGCAAGCTGGCATCTTGAAGTTCAAATTTGAATTTTTATCCCCAAACGGTGTTATTGGTGAACAGTTTTGATGGTAAGAAGTTCTTGGAGAGAAACAAAGGGAAGAAGATAATGTTTGTGGGGGATTCCATAAGTAACAATATGTGGCAGTCACTCACTTGTTTGCTTCACGTTGCAGTCCCAAACTCACCTTACACTTCAACTACACAAACACAGCAACTTTCTGTGTTCTCATTTCCGGTAGTGGTTTTTTTCAGTTTACATTTTCAATGCAGGAAAGTGTTGAACCTTTATATTTGTTTGAATGGCTTTTGATTTGGTTCAAATTTGGGGTTGTAGGAGTATAAAGCTTCAATCATGTGGTTGAAAAATGGGTTCTTAGTGGATTTGGTTATTGACAAAGAAAAAGGCAGGATTTTGAAGTTGGACACCATCAGCTCTGGGGACCAGTGGAAAGGAGTTGATGTTTTGATTTTCAATTCTTACCATTGGTGGACTCACACAGGACATTCTCAAGCGTAATGAAACTTTTGATTTTGAGCTACTTTTGTGGTGTTTTATGAGAGGAGGTAGCCATGTGGCTAATGGCTTCACTTCACTTCACTTCACTTCACTGTTTTGCAGGTGGGATTACTTTCAAGTGGGGAGTCAATTAATCAAGGACATGGATCACATGGAAGCTTTCAAGATTGGCCTCACCACTTGGGCTAAATGGGTAGATTCTAACATTGACCCTTCAAAGACTACAGTTTTGTTTCAGGGCATTGCTGCTTCCCATGTTGAGTAAGTTTCAGCCACTACTAGCTTACCAAGTGAAAATTGTCCAATCATTTACCAATTTTTCTTCAATCATACCTCTTACAGTTTTTTCAAAAGTGCTTGCATAACTTGACCAAAAAATCAAAGTGCTAGCAGAATTTTATGCATGCCATTGTGATTGTGATCAGTAAGAACTAAATATTTGTATTCATGGACTAACACTTCACTTTCTTTTCTTCTTTCAATTGGACATTCCAGCAAAAAGGGGTGCCTAAGACGAACTCAGCCAGAGGAAGGGTCAATGCCAGCATATCCTGGTGTAGACATTGTGAAGAAAGTTATAAGTAACATGAGAAATCCTGTGCAATTGCTAGACATCACTCTGCTCACACAAATGAGGAGGGATGGTCACCCCTCGATCTACACAGGGCGTGGCACTTCTTTTGATGACTGCAGTCACTGGTGTCTGGCTGGTGTTCCTGATGCTTGGAATGAAATTTTGTATGCTCTTCTGTTTGGAAATTAGTACCAACAACCTATTTGTCCTTCGTTTATCTTACCCTTGATTATTTATTGCCCTTGAGGAAATGGGCCTCCCATAGCTTATTGGAAAGGTCAGTATTCACCTTGGAATAATCTAAAGAGTAATTAAAGGCAGGAATCCCATCTAATGAATAAAATAACTTGAAAGATGATTTCTATTATATATCAAAGTAACATATCAATAATATGTCAAATATAAAGTTAGAGATATATAAATAAAAATTTATACAGTAATTTAACGTACAAAATCTTCAACTAATAAGCGAAAAATCTCAAACAAAATTAAAGAAATAGTTTGATTAAGTAAAAGAGAAATTAATATGTTTCTAATATAAAGAGAAAAGAATTATAGGAGGGATTTATTAGACTAGGTAATTGATGATATAATTCAACTAAATCTAATCTAAATAAATTGGATTGAATTTTTTTTTTATTGAGTTGAATTTATCCTAATTCAATTTCATCTCATTTCCTATAAGTTTGGTGAATAATTTTAAATGTTGACTTCAACACTTCATTCGATCTAACATGATTAAAATATTAAATTATTTAATTATTCAAATATAAAATAATATATTATATAATTTTTAAAATAATTCTAAAGATGTAAAAAAAATGTTTTGAAATTATTAATTTTATTAAAAAGGTAGTACATTGTAAAAGAAGTGATTCAATTAACTCAATTTATTTCTTTCGATTAAGGGTGAAATGAATTAAATTATATATTAAAAAAAATTAAGAATTCCATCACCTAAGAAACTATATACGCTTGTTTCTAGATAAAAATAGTTTGATGCATTCAATAAATATATTAACTTTGATTAATGTTTTCAATATCAACCACCTCTTATTTGTGTATTATTATTTTTTAGACTAGCAAAAAAAATTTCAATTAATCTTTAAAAATATTCATGTTGACGAATGTTTCACTCAATAACTAATATAACGCCAACCTTTTCCACATAAGAATTTTTAGACTAGCAAAAAAAATTTCAATTAATCTTTAAAAATATTCATGTTGACGAATGTTTCACTCAATAACTAATATAACGCCAACCTTTTCCACATATGAATTTTAAAGAGATATTTATGAGATTCTATTGATTATAAACCTGGATTTTTATATTAGTTAAGATATTACTTAATTACTTAATTAAAATTTATTAAAAGAACAAAAAATAAGAAAGATTTAAAAATTTAAAGTGTAGAAAAGTAAATTGTAAGGAAGGGTAAATGACTAGAAATATAAATGACAAGAAATGTAAATGGAAAGAAACATAAATTATGAGAAAAAGTAAATTATTGTAACTATAAATTCTAAAAATGTAAATTACAAAAGATAAAAAAGAAATTGGTATAAAAAATCGATAAAAATAGTGATATAAATTGTCAATAACTCCATTAAAATATGTTGGAAGTCCATGTCATTTGGTATGATTTAAATACATGTTAGACTACTCATAATATTGTCAATTGGTTTTATGTTGAAATCTTAACATGGTATCGTAGTCAAAACCTAATATCTTTCTGGTTATTGTCTTGGGTCAAAAGTTGCATTTTTCGTTGCGGGTCAAAAGTACCATTTTCCTGGTCTGGTAGACTTCGTTGGAAGGGGTATGTTGGAAGTACCACATCGCCTATCTCATGTCATTTGGTATGGTTTAAATACATGTTAGGTTACTCCTAATATTGTCAATTGATTTTATGTTGAAACCTTAACAAAATAGCTTTCTCCATGTTTGTAGCATTTTTCAAAATGCTATTGTCTTAATACAATTTTTCATCACCTCTTTTTTCACTTATTTCATCCTATTTATATTATTATTTATCATAACTGCTAAAAAATAAAATAAACTATTAATCATTTTCCCTATTAAAATAAAAAAAATGGTTTATTTCCCTATTAACCATCCCCCCTTTTTGAGTGGATCTATTATCACATATAGCGTTTTGTAACGGTTTATGTCGCATCATGAAGTGGTAACTGCTCCTCACTTTTCGATTCTTTGTAACTCTTTTTTTATAACAACCTTCCCTCGATTTTTTTATTCCTCAATCTTCTCCTACCAATATGCCTTTCCCTTGATTTTGAAGCTCCCTTCCAATTGTTCCCTTATCTCCTTTTTCCTTCAAATTTTATTTGCTTCCTTTTATCAATATAGTTAATCTTATTTCAACAATACCTTCTAACTTTAATTCTTTACTTTGATTTTCTTCTTTTGATATTTTGCCTCAAGTCCTCTACCCTTTTTTCGATTTCCTTCTTTTTTTTTATCAACATCTTGATTATAAAACTCATACTCTTAACCTTAATATCCTTTCAAACTAATTCTTTTTATTCATTTGGAAACTTACAAGAGAATGTAAACTAATTCTTTTTATTCATTTGGAAACTTACAAGAGAATGTAAACTTATTTCGATAAGTGAATATTTTGTTAATGCAAATCGACTTCTTGATGAGAAACCCCTTTTGCTCTTTTAAAGAAAACATTTGTCTTTTATTTTAAAAGAGTTATTAAAGTTGTTCACTACCATATTCTCTTCATTCCCTATGTTTCCTTTCATAAATGTAAAACTTTCGTAATAAATACTCTCCAAAGCCATAATTCATTAAGTTTTCATCTGTATAACGTGTGGGCTGAAATTAAGGACCATTTTCCTTTTTAGGTTTAATTTTTCTTGAGAAAATCAATATTTTGATTCTCTTCCTATAAAAAACATTTCACCTCCTTCACTATCCATGCTTTTATCATCCTTTTGATATACTTCTTGGAGCCTTTCGAAGAACCTTTTCTCATCTCCTCAAAGAAACTTTCACTCTTATTTTTCTGCTACACCTATTTCAATGGCATCTTCCTCCTAGAAAATTGCTTCCTCCCCCAACACGCAATCCACTGGCCCCACTTTTATCCTTGCATCCTTTGTAAAATTAAATGGTAAAACCTTCGGTCCAGTTCTGGGTTTAGAAGAAGAATCGAAGAAAATCTATGAAACTCAAGTACTTATTCCTTACTTAGTAGGAGGAGTTAGCTATGCTTTTGGAGGTTCCATAAACACATCCCTTATTGATTCAGTTGTTGATTTCCCTTCTTTTAAAGAAAGGAACTCTATTATCCAAGAGGGAGGAGAAATCCGCATAGATTTTATCGATATGTCATCAAAGGTTTATCGTACTAGCCTAGCCTAGAAAAGACCTTCTTATTTGAAATGGCTATAAAGAGTCAAAGCTTCCTTCAACAATCATTGGAAGAAGATTGACATCTTCGACTTGATTCAACTCTCTTGCTAAGACATATCACATTTTAATATGTCGATGTTTCTATCAACCGTCCACTTATGGAACAAGTATCTCAATACCATGGAGTTACCTTGTGGCCTAGTCTTCCCTACTTTCCTTGACATCGATGCGATTACGGTCCTGAATCCTGTAGGGGAAACATATTTTATGACTGCTTTCCCATTAGATAGCAAGCTTGAAGTGAGAATCTGATGGGACAAGAAAGCCTATGGCCATTTTTTGACTAAACATTTGTTCAATGATCTTAGTGTCATTGTAACACTTGAAGAACATATAACCTTCTTGTTGTATTAGATATGTACTCACATTATTTGCCCTCGCTCAATCCAAATTTTCTACCACTACTTTAGTCTAGCCTACCTCCTCCATATTGACACCCCTTCTATTTGTTTAGCCAAATTACTACTTGCCCACATATACATGACCTTTGCCGACGCAGTAGATGTTAGAAAAGTAGGCTGAGATCAAGAGAGGGGGTGAATTGATCTTTAAAAGTTTTTCGCAAATAACAGATTATCTAATTCAAAAATTAAGATTTCAGATCTGTTCTTGAATTAGAAAGCAATCAATCAATAAAAATGCAGCGACATAATTAAAATAGAGAAAGGTTAAGAAAGATATCACCGGTGTTTTATACTGGTTCACCCAATACCAGGGCTACGTCCAGTCTCTAGCCAAATTCCAGCTGGGTTCCACTAGATCAAATGTTTTACAGATTTACAATCTTACACTTAATCTACAACAAGAACCAAATTCCAGTTCCTGCACTCAACCTCTCACCAAGAACCAAATTCCAGTTCTTGATAACCTCTACAACCAAATTCCAGCTGCAGAGAAACCAGTGCCCAAATTCCAGGCACCAAACAATACAAAAAGAATGTAAAGAAATGAAAAAGAAGAAACTAGAATGCTCAAACCAGTTTATGCAATTCTGCTGTAAGTGTTTCTTCTTCAAAAGAAATCAAGTTGCCTCAAGAAAAATTTTCAAAGAACTTCTCAAAAACTGATGCGAATCTTTCTTGAAAAGAATGCTAAAGTTTGCTTGATTGATTGCTCAAGGATGTGTAAAAACTGATGTTCAATGTATGTTAAAAAAGTTCAAGCCAAATTGTTTTTATAGAAGATTTTCAAAACTGCTAGTTTAATTAATCTGTTAAAAGATTCTTTTAATCTGTTAAAAGTGCAGTTTTAATCTTTTAAAACTTCTTTTAATCCATTAATACGTTCTTGATTCTTTAACAGATTTGTTTTAACTGATACAACAACGTTTATATCAATTAAAACACTTTACAAAAAATCTTCTAAGTTGATTTAATCGATTGTTTCGCGATTCAATCGATTGAAATACTGCAAAAATTTCTTGTAAAACTTTTCAAGTTATTTTAACTGATAAAAATAAGTTTTAATCGATTAAAACATTGTGTAGAAAATTTCTAAGTTGTTTTAATCGATTGAAACGAGATTTAATCGATTAAATGAGTTCTGATCGATCATAACTAAATTCTGATCGATCATAATCGATTCTGATCGGTCATAATTGCATTATGATCGATCATCCTGAACCCTTAAGTGCTTTTAATCGATTGAAACATGTTTTAATCAATTAAAATAGTTCTGATCGGTCATAACTCAATTCTGATCGATCATATCTGATCCTGATCGGTCATAATTGTATTCTGATCGA